CCCACCAGAGTCATACAGAAGACGAACCGACTACCGGAGATTACCATTTTCTTTGATTCTCCATTCTCTCTCTCAAAGCTTGTATCTCCATTCTCCATACCCTTGAATCAATAAAATACCCGGCAACTGAAGCCATTGAAGAGTGGACGTAGGTCGAATTGACCGAACCACTATAAATTGTGTCTTCTTCAATTTTCTCGTTGATTTCATTGCATTTATTATCTATACTTGATAGGTGGTGTACAAAACTATTTTTGTGCATCATCAGTATTTATATCTGTTTGTGGCAGAAATTTCTTTTAATATTCTTGAGAAGATTTTTTNTTTAGAGGGCTCGTGCAGTGTGGGAAAATGGAAGAAGCAATGCTGATTCTTGATTGCATGCTTAGGGTGCAGCTTGTTCCAACTATCACCACTTTCACAACTCTGATGCATAAGTTCTGTAAAGAATTTAACCCGATAGAGGCTGTAAAACTAAAAAATATAATGGAGTTTCATGGTGTAAATCTAGACGTTGTTGCTTACAAATGTTCTCATTACTGGCCTTTGTGCTAGTGGTGGTATTGTACAAGCATTTGATCTATATGAGGAGATAAAACAAAGGGACCTCTGCCCTAATACCACCACGTTTACTGTTCTTACCGATGCTCTCTTGACCAAGAACAATATTGTGAAGGGTGAAATGATTTTGATGGATTTACAAGACAGGGGATTGATATCTCGAGATCAAAGCACCCAAGATTTGCACAAAGGTTTGATGGTTGCTAGGGAGAAGTTAAATTTATTAAGGCACCAAAGGAGGAGAAATAGAGCAAAAAAAGGTTAAAAAGTGGGGTTAGAATATATGGATGAGGACAGGACCATTGTGGAGGCTTGCTAGCAAACGAGGTTGTGATGGGAATTTCTTTACCTAACCAATTGGGATGCAAGATGAGGTCTGTAACAGCTTGAATCTTATACTTTATGGTTGTTTTTAAGGAATATGTGTTCTAAACTATGCGTTTTCTTTTCTAGTTATTTATTTCTCATGCATGGTATCATGGACAGAGCACGCCTCTTTATGGATCGGTGGGGAGCAGATTTTAGGCTTTCAGCTGCTAAAGTTGGGAAGTCTTCTGACGCCAAGTACATCAAGATTTATGGTTTCCCCACTGACTTTCACTGGTGCCAATACAAGTCGTGATATGTGCCATGTAAGTACGCTTGTTTTTGCTGACCCTGCTTACTTCATTAATTTTCTCTGGAGCTACTTTTCTGGAACTAGGGTGATGGAGGTGTGTCTCATATTTATCAACATGCAATTAAAAGTGGCCTACCTACATGACAATTAGAATGATACAAATTATCTCTTCCCCAAGATTTGAAGAATTAATCTTCACTTCCATAACCAAACTTGTTTGGGCACCCAATGACTTCTAGATATATGGCCATTGATATTAAGGATTGGAAGAGAGTAATCCATGGTCCCTTCCCAGTGGGTTACTTGATAGTATTTATATCTGTTTGTGGCAGAAATTTCTTTTAATATTCTTGAGAAGATTTTTTAATTTGAATGCTACTGCTTTATTGCTTCCTTCCCTTCTCCCAATCAATAGTTTTTGAGGAAATTGAGGTTTAGAAAATCCAGAATCTAACTTAAAAAGCATGGAACTGAAACTACTGTTAGACTAGCCAAAGGAGGAGGGATCGTGCACTTTGGTCAGGCAGATGATGAGTAAGGACTTACCACAATGTTGATGATTGGATAAGTAGAAAGGTAGTCTTAAGTTTTAATTCTTGCTTAGTTTTCAGTCATGCACGGTTCCACTCTTGATTTCCAAGCAATTTTATTTTGTCGTCTTTCCAGATTTGTCATTACACAACAATTCTATTGACAGTGGGTTTTACTTACTTTTTAGAGTTGCTATTGTGGGTCTTGTATGGGTAGAAAGCAAGAAAATAGAACCTTCTAAATTACCCAGATGTCAGAGGTGCTAATGCTAGACTTGATAGTGATAGGCAGGTTTATGCAGTTCCCTGCTATTAAACCGGGGGTGGCTGTATGCATGCTCGTACACCGATTCTTGTTTGGATCCTTTTTTTATTCATTTTTATGTTGTTTCACTGTATGCAGGAGGAAATCCAGAAAAAAACTGGATATATTGTAATGCGGGCAGAGGGAATTTTTGATGTGGGGGATGCTAATACATCAATTTGATCAGCTTTCTGAAGATCTCAATATCAAAATACCGGAGGTAATTCATTTTTCCCCTTGTTTTAATGAGTTGGTTGCTGGTCTGGAGGATTGAAGATTGGTGCACTACATTAGTTTANCGTTTTCTTTTCTAGTTATTTATTTCTCATGCATGGTATCATGGACAGAGCACGCCTCTTTATGGATCGGTGGGGAGCAGATTTTAGGCTTTCAGCTGCTAAAGTTGGGAAGTCTTCTGACGCCAAGTACATCAAGATTTATGGTTTCCCCACTGACTTTCACTGGTGCCAATACAAGTCGTGATATGTGCCATGTAAGTACGCTTGTTTTTGCTGACCCTGCTTACTTCATTAATTTTCTCTGGAGCTACTTTTCTGGAACTAGGGTGATGGAGGTGTGTCTCATATTTATCAACATGCAATTAAAAGTGGCCTACCTACATGACAATTAGAATGATACAAATTATCTCTTCCCCAAGATTTGAAGAATTAATCTTCACTTCCATAACCAAACTTGTTTGGGCACCCAATGACTTCTAGATATATGGCCATTGATATTAAGGATTGGAAGAGAGTAATCCATGGTCCCTTCCCAGTGGGTTACTTGATAGTATTTATATCTGTTTGTGGCAGAAATTTCTTTTAATATTCTTGAGAAGATTTTTTAATTTGAATGCTACTGCTTTATTGCTTCCTTCCCTTCTCCCAATCAATAGTTTTTGAGGAAATTGAGGTTTAGAAAATCCAGAATCTAACTTAAAAAGCATGGAACTGAAACTACTGTTAGACTAGCCAAAGGAGGAGGGATCGTGCACTTTGGTCAGGCAGATGATGAGTAAGGACTTACCACAATGTTGATGATTGGATAAGTAGAAAGGTAGTCTTAAGTTTTAATTCTTGCTTAGTTTTCAGTCATGCACGGTTCCACTCTTGATTTCCAAGCAATTTTATTTTGTCGTCTTTCCAGATTTGTCATTACACAACAATTCTATTGACAGTGGGTTTTACTTACTTTTTAGAGTTGCTATTGTGGGTCTTGTATGGGTAGAAAGCAAGAAAATAGAACCTTCTAAATTACCCAGATGTCAGAGGTGCTAATGCTAGACTTGATAGTGATAGGCAGGTTTATGCAGTTCCCTGCTATTAAACCGGGGGTGGCTGTATG